GCTGAACGATTAATTGCATTTGCGATAATATCGCGATATGAAAAAACGCGATTTTTCAATCGCAGAGGCTGCGATTACACTCGGTCACGTGACACGCGAGAGTAAAGAGGTGTGTTAGACGTGAAGATCGATCGGTGTAGCCTATGACATCAAAGTACGGTGAGAGAAAGCATAAGGAGACGTCTGCGCTCTCTTATAGCTCTCGCAGTACTTTGATGACACACACCCATCGGTCTAAGCAGCACTGCTTTAAGTCGAGCGCAGGCCATCAGCAGAAAAAGAAAAGAAATAAAACAGTAAACAGCCAAAACACGCGAGAGTGAAGAGGTGTGTTAGACTTGAAGATCGATCGGTGTATGACATCAAAGTACGGCGAGAGAAAGCATAAGGAGACGTCTGCGCTCTCTTATAGCTCTCGCAGTACTTTGATGACACACACCCATCGGTCTAAGCAGCACTGCTTCAAGTCGAGCGTGGGCCATCAGCAGAAAAAGAAAATAAATAAAACAGTAAATAGCCAAAGGACGTAATTAGAATGGGAGATGGATCGGTTTGTGAAAATGAAGAGAAAAGCCATAGATGAAGTCACACAGACCCAGACAGGTGCTGGTCATTTAAAAGCTAAATGCAGAAAATATGACGAGGCATATCTTGATCTCGGCGTCACTCACCGTGTCTATACCGGACGCTACAGTTGTCGCGTCGCACCGCAACAGCTCTACACTGGACGCGACAAAGTGAGCAGAAAATATGACGAGGCATATCTTTTTTTTATAGGTTTAAAGGGGGGCGCGAACAAAAAAGTTTGAGAACCACTGGTCTAAAGTTAACAGACAGTGTTTAGTGCAGTCCACATGTTTACATATGTTTATCACAGTGACTTTGAATTACCTAAAGTAGTGTGGTAAAGCAACAGATTTGTTTTTATATTTCTGCAATCTACTTTAGTTTGTGTGATTTGTTACTGACTTTCATATTGTTTACACCAGGCTTATTTAAACATAATTATTACATGCTTACGAGGTTGGAAGTTCAACAAATCAGTTAATGTACTGTGATTGTAGTTGTTAAATAAAAATGTCATTCATATCAATTCATGCATCACCTAATTTCATCGTAACATATAGGTCTGGCCTACAGAAAATAACATTTATGTTTAATCTAATAGTGTGTTGGTCATACCTATACAATGATTTATAGCTTGTCTTTGCTGAATAATACAGAACATAAAGAGCTTTAAAACATAATTGCATATTAAATCACAATCGCAATATTGGTAAAAAAAAAAATCGCAATTAGATTATTTTCCAAAATCGTTCAGCCCTACTTACGTACAGTGCCTTGCGAAAGTATTCATACCCCTTCATTTTTTTCACATTTTGTTATGTTGCTGCCTTATGA